AGTGGCCTGATGAGCGTGTGGCTGTCGCTGCGGTCTGGAGGAGCCAGGGCTGACCTCCCCTCCGTCCGCAGGCATCAGCTCCATGCTCGCAGTTGTCCCAGGGAGAGCCCTCGCCCGGCTGGCGAGTCTCTGCCGGAGGTGGTGGCGGTGGCACAGCGTGCCTCGCTCTGCCCGCTCCTGGGGCTGAGCTGGACCTTGAGCTGCCTGTGTTCTGCTTCCTTCCAGGGGTTTGTGCTTTGCCACTCCATTGCCGGTGGAACGGGCTCCGGGCTGGGCTCCTACCTCCTGGAGAGACTGAATGACAGGTGAGCGTCCAGCCTCGTCCCCTTCCCTGGCTGCGGAGCCCGGCCCAGCCTGGGCACCCCGCCAAAGCGGGGAGCTGGAGAGCGCTGACTCAGAGCCACCGCCCCCACCCAAACACTGCCTTGTGCAATCCCTGGCATGCTGCCCGGGGAAGGGATGGCTCCTGATATGCCTGGGGACTTTACAGGCTCTGAAAGTGGACTTGTGCTGTCCAAACTCTGCCTTCCCTCAGCCATTCCTACCAGGCGGCTGCCTTCTGACACCCTGACTGTGCAGGGCAGGGTGGGAGGCTCTAGCTGTGGGCTCTGAGCTGCCATCCCTGCCTGTTTCAGCTTGCAGCCTCTTGAAAAGGCTTGTAAGCAGCTGCTTAATCAGCCTGTGGATGGCTCAGCCTCGCCTGTAGCTCCGTCTGGCAGCCTGCTCCTGTACTGCTAGGGTAGGCACTGCCGGGACAAATTCTCTCCCTCCCTGGGAGCCAGCTCTGGCACGCAGCGCTGGTGACTCACTGCTGTCCTGAGCCCTGGAGACTGCAAAGGGAGCTTGTGGGAGGAGGGAGTGCTGGCTTGGTGCTGTTAACCCTTGAGATGGCTGGGCTTCCTCACCAGGTATCCCAAGAAGCTGGTGGAGACCTACTCGGTTTTCCCAAACCAGGATGAGATGAGCGATGTTGTAGTCCAGCCGTACAACTCTCTGCTGACGCTGAAGAGGCTGACTCAGAACGCTGACTGCGTGGTAAGGGTCCCGCTGCGCGTCAGGCCAGCAGTGCCGCCAGCTCCTGCGTGGCAACCCTGTCTCCAGCCGCTCAAAACCGCAGCTTTTCCTGGGGCAAGTGCCGTAGCTGCGTGGGGCGAGTGCGTGCGATGTGCCTGCGAAGCCCTGGCTGCAGCAACGGGTGCACCCCAGTCCAGAAGGACACAGCAGATGTGGTGGCTCCGGGGACAAGGGCTCTGCACAAACGCCTGCTGAGCTGTCCGTCGTGGCATTTCTGCCTCCGGGATCCAGCAGATTCTTCCCATGGCAGCGAGGACCGGCTGGGCTTCCCCTGCATAGCTGCGCTGCAGCCTTCTACTTGAACTCGATTCCAGCGTCGCGTTCAGCACCCACAGTCCCCAGCCAGGCAGCATCTTCAGCCTGCACCAGGGCCTTCGGTCAGGTCCTAACCAAGACGCTGCTGGTGCCTCCCAGCTTATCTCTGCATGTGGCAGGGCAAGAGCAGCCACGCCAGAGCTGCTGGGGCTGAAGGTTGCTGCGAGGTGCTGGCCCAGAGGCAGTGCTCTTTGAGAGAGTGCTGGGGAGCGCAGCCAAGACGGGAGGGAAGAGCTTCCATTGACAGTGTCGGTTACGCTCCACAGATGAGTCAGCTTGTGGTTTCAAGTGTCTGCCACCTGCCGCGGAGGGCTCTGCCAGGCCGCCGTGCTCGGGGCCTGTGCTGGGCGATCCGGTGCCCTGGGACACGTGGCCGGGGCTGCCCTTCCTCAGGCTGCCTCCCAGGCTCTTCTCAGAGCCGGTTTTTCTCTTGCAGGTGGTTCTGGACAACACAGCCTTGAATCGGATCGCGACAGACCGGCTGCATATTCAGAACCCGTCGTTCTCTCAGATCAACCAGCTGGTGAGAAGGGCTCTTCCCTCTGGAGAAGCCAGCACGGGGCTTCCCCGCTGTCTTTGATTCAGTCCGAACGTGCTCCATGGGCTGGGCGCGATGGTGGGCAGCCTGGAGCCGTGAACAAGGGTCCTCTGCCGGACGCTGACCCCGTCCTCTCCCCCAGGTCTCCACCATCATGTCTGCCAGCACCACCACGCTCAGGTATCCTGGGTACATGAACAACGACCTCATCGGGCTGATCGCCTCGCTGATCCCCACCCCCCGGCTGCACTTCCTCATGACGGGGTACACGCCGCTCACCACAGACCAGTCGGTAAGGCAGCCCGCCAGGCACTCCTCCCCTTCCCCGGGGGCAGGAGGAGCTGCCACGCTCACCTTGTCACATCTGTCAGTCCCGCGGTCTTGGTGTGAGCTGTAATTGCCTCTTCCAAATCCCAGGCCCGTGTGCCCATGCTACACGACAGCCACGTGTGATACGAATCAGACGCGAGCAGGCAATCGTGCTTGTGCTGGGCTACCTGCTGCGTGCATCAGGATGGCTGCAGCGGCTGGGGGGGGGGGGGCAGGAAACTGTTTTGAAAAAAGACACCTTCAGAAAGC